GTTTAATAACCAGAATCCACAGAGAACTCAAACATTATCAGGAAGAGAACAAGTGATCCTATCTCAGGCTGGGCAAGGGACTTGAAGAGAAACTTCTCTGAAGAAGACAGGCACATGGCCTACAGACATATGAAAAAATGCTCACCATCCTTAATCATCAGAGAAGTTTTTTGTTTTTAAATAAATCTTGGCATTTGTTGCTCGTAAAAGGTGACTGTTAAATGTACAAATTCACAACCTCGTGGGAAGTATGTAAGTATGTAATTATTACAATGAAGAGTGAAGCAATCTTTTCTAATGTTATTTTGTTTCCTTCGGTAGAGCTGTCTTCATGGACTTCACTGGTGCCCTTTAACTTTTTGCTTTTGGTGATACTGCATCACTGTAAGCTCTCATCAACATCAACCTGCTCTTTTATCACACTTCCATTAAACCTTGCTGATTAGATGTAAAAGAACATTCTTTATCATCAAAAATGCATTATAATTTATTTTTAAGCCCTCATCCTAAATGCTTCATTGCCTTTTGCTCCCACAGACCTTTCAAATATCCAACCCATTTTTTCTAAATTCTCCCTAAGATTTTATTTGAAACAGAATTCTAGGCATAAACAATAGTTAAAATAGCATCTTTGCCACCAGGACACTATAAGCTCTTTCACGTGCTACATAATATCTAAGCTTTTTCATGAAATCACTTACATAATGACATTTCATATTCTACACAGTGTCCTGGTTCGCCAATGAGACATGTACATTGGCAAGCAGGAAGCTGGTAAAAATACTTGTAAACACTGATTTTGCTGCATGAAGGTAAACTCAGCAATTATCTAGCTAAAGAATAGCTTGGCTTTAGATATACAACCAGGAAGAAACCAATTAAGGAAAAAGATTATAACTTCTCTGTAAATTAGAATCCATTATATGGCTTTGAAACTTCTTCGATGTAAATGTTAATTTTCCATTTATGAAAAGCTTATATTTTATAAATATAAGCACATCAAAAAAAGATGTTCCTACTGAAATCAATAACTTTTAGGTAGATGGGACAGAACACCAAGTGCTAGGAAAAAAGAGGAGGGTGATGGGTAGGAAGAATAAAAATCAATACAATGCATACTTCCTTCTCTCAGAGAACCTAAAATTAAGTTGGGGAGACAAATCATAAGCACAGAAAAATGAAAACCAAAACCCAAACACCTAAACAAAAAAGGCAACCAGAAATAATATGGCATATATAAGAGAGTACAGAGAAATTGAATAGACAAAATTGATAAAGTAGACTCACCTCACTCACAATACATAATAAACTTTATCTGAGCTCAATACTTCTGGAAATCAGTGATGCTTAAGAGACCTTCCACCTTTTTGTGACCCAAGAAACAGTCACTCACAAAGAAACATTCCAAGGAATGTGCCCTGACACATTCCAAGGAGAGACCCACACCATCATTCCTTATGATTCCCATAAACTGGCAGATGATTCTCTCTCTCTTTTTTTTTTTTTTACCTGCCTTTATATAAATCCTTGTCTCCTTTCTTTTCTTTAAGATGTTCCTCCTTAATGAACATCTTCCCCATGGCAATAGCCTGAATAACAAAATTGATGATTATAATGTCTGTCATTCAGAAAGGCTTTTATGTCTCATTCTATAAATGTGTAACATTTTCCTACCTCTGGATGGTATCACCAAATTAGATTATAAAATTTCTTAAATTAAAGGAGCTCTATTTTCATTAGGTTATAGAAATAGTGTTTAGATAAATATTCTTAAAATTCCCAGAAAACAAGAGAAATGAACTTTCAAGACTTTTAACACGCTGAAAAATGTATACCCACAAAAACAAACTTAAATGGTTTAAGAATTCAAGTTCACATATATAGGTATTTCTTTGGCAAATAGGACTAATTTAGTCATTTTGGTTTACTAAAATCAGCTATGCCTTTCTGATTTATCAGCATTATGTATAATACACAGGTAGTTTTTTTTCTATTTGGGTATGTTCTTCCTAAACATATGTAGCTTTACTGACTGAATAAGCTAACATTACTTCTACTAAAAGTTTAAGATTATGAAAAATGTAAATTTGAGCTGGGTATGGTGGCTCATGCCTATAATCCTAGCACTCTGGGAGGCTGAGGCAGGTGGAGACATGTGGATTGCTTGAGCTCAGGAGTTCAAGACCAGCCTAACCAAGGGTAAGACCTCATCTCTACCAAAAATTGAAAAATTAGCCAGTGTTTTGGCAGGCACCTATAGCCCCAGCTACTGAGGAGGCTGAGGGAAGAAAATCACTTGAACCCAAAAGTTTGAGGTTTCTGTGAGCTCTTATGCTATGGCATGCTACCCAGGATGACAGAGTGAGACTCTCTCTCTCTCAAAAAAAAAATACTGTAAATTTGTTTGACCAAGTTGAGTCATCATTCTGACAAACTTTATTTTAATACTAATTGTAGTTTATAATATATCAGCATCAGCTTGAAGATAATTTACAAGATCTTTAGGTAGCTATAAAATTTGGGCTGGGCTTGGTGCCAACCACATACACTGAGGGTGGTGGGTTCAAACCCAGCCCAAGCCAGCTAAACAACAATGACAACCATAACAAAAAATAGTCAGGTGTTGTGGCAGGTGCTTGTAGTCCCAGCTACTTGGGAGGCTGAGGCAAGAGAGTTGCTTAAGCCCAAGAGTTTGAGGTTGTTGTTGAGCTGTGATGCCATGACACTCTACCAAGGGTGATATCATAATCAGACTCTGTCTAAAACAACAACAACAACAACAATAAAAATTTAGGCTGATACTAGGTTGAATTAATTAATGAATATTGATTAGATACTTAGACCACTTCTAAGTAAGAGAATGCTAAAACATTAATTACTACACATAATTTTGGGTTGATATACTGTGTTTCTTATTTTTATATTTGACAGATAGGATATATGTGTGTGTATGACATTTTGCCACTTACCAAAGTTATACTATAAAGGATATGTATGGATAAACAAAGTTGTAGATGGTTCACAGAAAGGGAAATTTATTTGTTTTTTTTAATTTCTTATAGCATAACTGTGTACATTAATGTAATCATGGGGAACAGTATGCTGTTTTCATATACATTTTGAAATACTCTCATCAAACTGGTTAACATAACCTTCATGTCATTCTCTTAGTTATTGAGTTAAAACGTTCATACTCTGCTTTTAGAAAGATTCACTTGTACCCTCGTAAGATAAACCAAGGAGGTACCCCACCAATCTCCCTTCCTCCCCCATCCACTCCCCTCACCTCCCCCTCCCACCCCCTTCCCATATTCTAAGGCTATAATTAGGTTATGACATTCCTATAAAAGCTATGAATTAGTTTCAAAGTAGGGCTGTGTACATTGGATACTTTTTCTTCTATTCTTGAGATACTTTGCTAAGAAGAACATTTTCCAATTCCATCCATATAAACATGAAGGAGGTAAAGTCTCTATCCTTCTTTAGGGCTGTATAGTATTCCATGGTGTACATGTACCACAATTTATTGATCCATTCATGGGTCGATGGGCATTTGGGCTTCTTCCATGACCTAGCAATTATGAATTGGGCTGCAGTAAACATTCTGATACAGATATGTTTGTTGTAATTCGATTTTTGGTCTTCTGGATATATACCTAATAAAGGAATTGCAGGATCAAGTGGGAAATTTATTTGTTGAAGTTAAAGCTAGCTAAGGTTTGATGACTTTATTTACAAGATTTACACTTTGTAAACTTTAAACTTTAGTATCAAATAAATTGATACAAAACTAGCATTTGG